CTTGAACTCCTGACCTTGTGATCCACCCTCCTCGGCCTCACAAAGTGCTGGGATTACAGATGTGAGCCACCGCACCTGGCCCAGAAAGATTTACTTTCTAACTAATACAATTGCCTGTCTTCAGCTTTTATTTCAATTACCTACCCTTTTTATTCCTTTTGAAAAATTGATACATAATAGATGTACATATTTTGGGCAATATGTGATTTTATATTACATATATATTTTCAGAGACAGGGTCTCACTCTGTCGCCCAGGCTGGAGTGCAGTGGCACGATCATAGCTCACTGCATTGCAGCCTTGAACTCCTAGGCTCAACTGATGCTTTTGCATCAGTCTCCTAGGTAACTGGAACTAAATGCACATACCACTATGCCTGGCTAATTTTTTAACTTTTCTGTAGAGACAGGGTCTCTCTATTTTGCTTAGGCTGATCTTAAACTACTGGCCTCAAGTGATACTCCTACCTCAGCCTCACAAATTGCTGGGATTACAGTCATGAGCCACTGGCCCAGCCAATGTGCTATTCTACTACCTTCATATAATGTGTAAAGATCAATCTGGGTAATTGGGATGTCTATCACCTTAAATATGTATCTTCTCTATATACTAGGAATGTTTAAATTATTCTCTTCTAGCTATTTTGAAGTGTACAGTAGGTTATTGTTGGCTAAAGCTACTCTACTAACATATTGAAACCTAGGTTTTATTTCTCCTATTTAACTGAATATTTGTATCATTTAAAAAAAAGGTTTTTTTTGCCTCTTCCTCATGATCCAAGACACAAATTGAAAAAAATGTTTTCAAATGGTTACACATCAGGAAACCTGGGCTGTGGTCTCAGTCCATTGTGACTTTTGCCCTGTCCTTCCAGTTCTCCCGGGCCTATTTCCTTATCTCTAACTATGAACTATGAGCTAGAAACTCTGACTTTGAAATTGTTGGATATTACAAATCTTTCTCCTTTCTCAACAGCTTCTTTGCAGGCTCAACCCTTCACAGAAATCTGAATAATGAGTTTTTTCCAGGGCTACAGAATACAATAATGTCAATTTCCACACACGCTAAAAAACATCGTTACCTTCTTCCCTTGGAAGGCTTATAATCCAGGCCATAGGTATCTACAGCTTTGGGTTTAGTGGTGGAAGCCTCGAGCCTCTGATAAACAGAAAGAAAATGTCGAGAGGAATTTATTTCCAATGTCTTGTTCAAATAACCTTAGTTTTTATTCTGGAAAAAGTCACATAATCCAAAGACTGATAAAAGTTTTTGGCACATAAGGTAGTTTAGCACTTTATAATACAAACTTCAGTTTGTCTTTATTCAAGAATTAGTGAAAACATCCACATTCCATGGAGTAATATTTTACTTCAGTGACTCGCATGAGAACAATACGCATGCAAGTGACTAGGGCCACATGATGAGAACAGCACTCTGTTCTTAAATATCAACTCGATTTTGCTTCTTTACTTGTACTTTATTGCTTGGAACTATTTTTTTTTTTTTTTAATGAGCGTGCATCATTTTATACAAAGAAAAAAGTAATTTTAACAAAACAAGTTGACTGTGAACAAGAACTAGAAAATAATTTAGGAAAATGAAATGCTGTTTTGTAAAAGAAGTAGAAGCAATTGTGGGGGACTTCCAGGTATGTGAAGATAGGGTGTCAGGTGATGTTGCTAATTCCATTGATCAAGCGCTAAGCCCCATTTACCCATGAACTCACTGAGGCTTTCTAGTGAGCACCACCTGCGAGGGAGCACGCCACCCATCTAGTAAGCAGTATTCTGTTTTGGAAATGAATCTGAGGCACGGAAAGGTTAAGTAACTTGCTAGAGGCCCCACAGTATTATCAATGGAGAAATACATGCTTGGACCACTACACTAGACTCCCCTCTACCCTTCAGTTTCTGAAACTAATTTCCCTCCTGTAGGAAATCTTTATTACTCTCGCCCACTCAGATCACTCTTCTATGCTATGTTTCTTCAGCCCTAGTATACACATGTTGTACTGCAGTGTTTTGTTTGTTTTTGGAGACAGAGTCACCCAGGCTGGAGTGCAGTGGCACAATCTCAGCTCACTGTGACCTCTGCCTCCTGAGTTCAGGCGATTCTCTTGCCTCTGCCTTCTGAGTAGCTGAGATTACAGGCACCCTCCACCATGCCTGGCTAATTTTTAAAATAATATTTTTAGTAGAGATGGGGATTTGGCATGTTGGTTAGGCTGCTCTCGAACTCCTGACCTCAAGCAATCTACCCGTCTCAGCCTCCCAGAGTGCTGGGATTACAGGTGTGAGCCACCGCACCCGGCCCTTATGTTTTATTTATTCATTTAACAAGCATTTGGTGCATGCTGCTGAGTGCCAGGCCTGAAGCCTGCTGTGAAGATTTCAGAAGGGCCTGCCAAGCCGTCCCTGTCCTAAACAGCTCACTACCGAGCATGCTTATTTTGTAAGTGTTGTGCACTGGCTTCCTTCTTCCTTAATCAGACCATCTGTTGGATCTCATGGAACTGTCTCCTATTTCTCTTTAAATCAAGCCACAGTATTTAACATGTGGGGCCATTGGTAACTTGCCATCTACTCCCCTGCTGGAAGCCCAGGACCCTTAGACATAAGAGGCGCTTTCTGACATAATATCTTTCTGTAAGATAGGCAGTGAGTCAGGAACTGGAGAATTCCCAGGAATGGTAGAAGGTGCTGGGACTGGCATCAGATAGGGAAAGGACTGACCAAGACCAGGACAGAACCAGAAGCACAAGGGAAGTGAAGAGGAGAGTCATGACCACAATCCCAAGGTAGACTGGACTGGAGCGTACGGAGAGTCTGACAGGGTATGGGTGCTTGGGCATCCAAGTTCATCACGGAGCTACCAGGAGGAAGGAGAGCCTGGGTCTCAGCAAGGATGTGGTCAGTACACCACAACAGGGCACACCCCTCCAGCGAGTGTGGACTATGACCTACGGCAGGCCCAAGGGTCCCAGCCCAGTGGACATGGCTTGCTGTAGCGCCATGCACTGCCAGTCACCCTCTACCAAGCACAGGTCACCAACGATGAAACAGCTACAGCCTCCCCCACTTCCCCCGTACTCCCCGTGCCCCCTTCTTAAAGACGTTCTCAACAGTGGTTTAGCGATACCCAAGCAAGGCCTTTGCATATGTAGGAAGTCGTGCACAGCACAAGAGCGCCACATGCAAGGAAACACCTTTCCCCGCGTAGACAGCAGATTTACATACCCTTACCACATACCCTTCCCGGAACAGGAAGGTTAAGGCTCTTGAGGAAGAGGTACTTTGGAATTTCTCACAAAGGTGCCATGTGGGCTAGTGTTGGCATGCTCACCAAGAAATATTTCAAGCTATTTCCAAGGGTATTGGAAAAATCATTTATAAGCAAATTATTTGTTTTTAACCTTTTTACTTATGGAAAATTTTAAGCATATAAAAAATAGACAATAGACCCATAGCGTGCAACTTCTTTTTAATTCTCTTAAATTTAAAAATAGATACGTGAAATAAAGCATCTGCTGCAAAATCAAACGATAGAATTTCGCAACCCCTAGGCAATCAAATACTCCCCTTGTGCCATAAGGAGATTTAGGCCTTTTACTTCCTTTTCTTTTACAATTTGTTTTCTTTACTATCATTTATATGCAGAGTTCTCCTGCAGTATGTAGAAGGCAGACATTGTGATTTTCAAAAATGGAGTGATTGTGTCCTATCCACCTGACTTGGCAGCCATCAATAATAATTACTATTATAAAGACCATATAACGGAGAAAAGGGTTATCAATTAGTGTTAATAAATAGGGTATAAAATTGTACACACACAGAGATGTCTACTGTGTAAACATGTACTAGATATGCACGTAAACAAAAACCAGAGGTAAAATGAAAAAATAAAATCAGTTTTTGTATCAAGTGGTGTGTTTGTAGTTGATTTATATTTGATCTTTTAAAAAATTCCATTAACGCTGTTATAATGATTTTCACTATAAACAACATTTGCAGTGGAGCTAAAAAATATTGGTGTTTGTTAAAGCAGTGGCTCAGTGAGGGTAAATGGCACTCAGGAGACACATCATGTCTTTGTTCTCTTCTCCTTAGGCCCAGAGCTAAAATCTGCAAAGATGGCTGTTTTAGCAAAGCATTTGGAGCCTAGAGCTGAGGAATATGTGGCCCCCTCTGCTTTTCCACCCTCTTCACTATATCTTTGGTATTGAAGGCCAAAAATTCTACCATACTCCCTCCCAAGCCCTGAAGGATATTGCTGGCCACAGCTGGAGTTAGTTATAAAAGTAGTAAGTCGGCCAGGTGCAGTGGCTCATACCTGTAATCCCAGCACTTTGGGAGGCCCAGGCAGGAGGATCATGAGGTCAGGCATTCAAGACCAGCCTGGCCAATATGGTGAAACCCCATTTCTACTAGAAATGCAAATTTTAGCCAGGTGTGGTGGCACTCACCTGTAGTCCCAGCTACTTGGGAGGCTAAGGCAGAAAAATCACTTGAACCCAGGAGACGGAGGTTGCAGTGAGCTAAGATCGTGCCATTGCACTCCAGCCTGGGCGACAGAATGAGATTCTGTCTCAAAAAAAATAAAACAGTAGTAAGTCAGAAATATGCCAATACAACAAACTGTAAGTGTCTCAACACAACACTAGCTAATATGTATATGGCATTCCCTGTGTGCCAGGCACCATTCTAAGCATTTTACATCAATAAACTCATTTCATTCTTAAAAACCATCCTATGAGAAAGGTACTTTTATTATGCCCATTTTACAGACGAGAACCCTGAGGCATAGAGCGTTTAAGTAGCTTGCCCATCCTCACATAGCTGGTGAGGCAGTGGGGCCCCGCAGTCCCTGCCCATAATCATCACATGGTACTGCAGCATGGTAGTGGAGGGAATGAGAAATATCGTGTTCTGAATATCGATTACCTTGGCATTTAACATACTTCAATTCACTTAATCTTTATTTTTATTTATTTTTTTTTTGAGACAGAGTCTCACTCTGTTACCCAGGCTGGAGTGCAGTGGTGTGATCTCCGCTCACTGCAACCTCCACCTCCTGGGTTCAAGCAATTCTCTGCTTCAGCCTCTCAAGTAGATGGGATTACAGGTGCCTACCACCATGCCAGGCCAGTTTTTTGTATTTTTAGTAGAAACGGGGTTTCGCCATCTTGGCTAGGCTGGTCCTGAACTCCTAACTTTGTGATCCACCCGCCTTGGCCTCCCATAGCGCTGAGATTACAGGCATGAGTCACCGTGCCTGGCCAACTCACTTATCTTTCTAATAACTCTAGGAGGTAATTATTACAGTCACCATTTTACAGAGCAGAAAATAGAGGCATAGGGAGCTAAATTATTTGTCCTAGATAACACAATTAATACAAGGCACAACTATAATTTAAAGCCAGAAACCCTGGCTCCAGTGCTTTCAAAAAATATATTTCTGTTATTATACAAGAACTCATCATTGAAAATATGTCAAAACATGTATTGAAAAATTGTTCATTAACTAATAAATTATCAAAATCATTAATTTCTTATGGAAGTAATATTTTTAGCCAGTATTTCCATTCTTAAATATCTTGGATGAATTGGCATTTTCATAAGATTTTTTTTCCAGGTGGACTATTTTGTGGTAATTCTGGCCTACTTAGGTATATCATAGTCAATCAGAAAGAATATTGTGTATGATATTTTATGTCATACTGTATCACATTATAGTTAACTACAAAACAGTGGGCTAACAACCAGAGCCAGAAAGAACAATAATCATATTGTGTTGTCATTAAAATCATCAAAAAGTATATTTGTTTTTTGTTTTTTGCTTTTTTGAGATGGAGTCTTGCTCTGTTGCCCAGGCTGGAGTGCATTGATGAGATCTCGGCTCACTGCAACCTCCACCACCAGGTTTCAAGTGATTCTCCTGCCTCAGCCTCCTGAGTACCTGAGATTACAGGTGCACGCCACCATACCTGGCTAATTTTTGTATTTTTAGTAGAGATGGGGTTTCACTATTTTGGCCAGGCTGATCTTGAACCCCTGACCTCAGGTGATCTGCCGGCCTCAGCCTCTCAAAGTGCTGGGATTACAGGCATGAGCCACCATGCCCGGCCTACATTTGTTTTTTTTTTAAAATAATCTACCTTGACTAAAGCCATCACTAGCTGTCCATAAAGAAATACAAGTTTGTTTGCATTTCCACAGAACATATATTTACCGTGCAGGCCTGAAGCTGGCCCAAATTTCACAGACCAATTATGGGTAGTCAAGAAAAGGGTGCTGAGAGCCCAGTTTCCTACCCTTTCTCTTATTCTCCCAAGACCCCTTACCACTGGACTTGGAGAAGTCAGAAGGCAGGGATGTCCCTGAAACGTGGAGATGGCATTCTCTACAACTGAAACATGATACATTCTCCAATTACTCTAATTCAATAATGCAATTATTTCTTAAAGGCCTACATGTAGAACTGGACACTTTTACAAATGCCATAGCAAATTGGAAGTTGTGACCTGCTTACAGGCAGAAAAAAACAAACAAACAAACAAACAAAAAACCTCCTTTTGATTTACAGATCTTTAAAATTGAATTAACTCCAAATCCCTTTATTGACTAAAAATTATTAAGTTAGTAAAAGATCTATAATCATAGCAGACTTTTACTTCATTGTTTTTACCTGAATCCTGATTTGATAAAGCTTTTATTTAAAATGTTGTGTTCTCTTAACCCAAGTAATGATTTTGAATTAAAAGGATTTAAAAATTATCTGCAGCACATCAACAAAAGAAAGGTTAAAAACCCACACAGCCAAGGAATGAGGTTTAAAATAAGATAAACAATTTATTCTAAAAATAAAACTTAAAAAAAAAAAGGTTAAAAACCTTATGATCATCTCCATTCCTGATTTAAAAAAAAATCCTCTAGTAAGTAACCAGGCGAGGTGGCTCATGCCTGTAGTCTCAGAACTTTGGGAGGCCAAGATGGGTGGATCACTTGAGGTCAGGAGTTCAAGACCAGCCTGGCCAACATGGTGAAACTCCACCTCTACTAAAAATACAAAAATTAGCCAGGCATGGTGGTGGGCACCTATAATCCCAGCTACTTGGGAGGCTGACGCAGGAGAATCTCTTGAATCTGGGAGGCAGAGGTTGCAGTGAGCCAAGATCACACCACTGCACTCCAGCTTGGGCGACAGAGCGTATTCTCTCTTTCTCAAAAAAAAAAAAAAAAAAAAAAAAAAAAAAAAAAAAAAAAAAAAAAAAAAAAAAAAAAAAAACAACAACAACAACAACAACTTCGGAAACCAGGAATAGGAACTTCCTTAACTTGATAAAAGATATCTTTGAAAACCTACACCAAAAGTCATACTCAAAGGTAAATTATTAGAAGCCTTTCCTTTAAAATCAGGACCAAGGAAAGAATGTCCACTGTCATCACTCTCCTTCACTATTATAATAAAAAGTCCTAGCCAGCATAGTAAAAAGAAATTAAAGATATACAAACCAGGCTACAAAATAATCTGCAGAAAAAATATTATAATTGCAAAGAGTTTGTTGTTGTAAAATCAATATACAGAAGTCAACTTCATTTCTATATACCAGTAACAATTTAAAATATGCTTTAAAAAAGGTCCTATTCCCAATGGAGGCAAAAATTAAAAGCCTACCTAGTAATAAAGCTAACAAAAGATGAGCATGTTCTTTACCAAGAAAATTATACAATCTTACTGAAGAACATTAAAGAAAATTTCAATAAATGTAAAGACATCAAAATGCCCATTTACATCCACAGGAACACAAAGATGGAAACAATAAGCAGGGGATTCCAAAAGGGGGAGTGAGGAGGGCAAGGGTTGAAAACATAGTATTGGGCACTGTGTTTACTACTTGGGCGATGGGATCATCAGAAGCCCAACTCCCAGCACCGCACAATATACCAGTGTAACAAACCTGCACATGTACCCCCTGAATCTAAAATTTTAAAGTAAAGAAATAAATTATCCATTAAAAAATACCAATGTAGGCTGGGTGCAGTGGCTCATGCCTGTAATCCTAGCACTTTGGGAGGCCAAGGTGGGCAGATCACCTAAGGTCGGGAGT